TGGGCTCAGCAAAACATTTGCAAACACACCCTTGCGAAGCCCCTCTAGCCTCCCCTCTCTGGGGAGGAGGATATGGGACACAGCGGCTCCTCTGGGGAAACCCGGTGGCTCGGCACCGGGCAGGTTTCTGCAGCCCTGAATCCGCCACCCTTGTTGTCCCGTGGGTCATCCGACATCACCTTTCGCTCCATGTAATTTCACTCGCCTTCTGGCAGAGGGTGAAGAAACTCCTCTTAAACATCCAGTGTGGATCAAAAGTAAACAGGTTCTCTTCACATTCCGTTGCGGTGGGGCGGGGTGGAGGAGCGTCCCTACATGGTCCCAGGGCAGCACTGGACCCTGGTCCTCGGGCCACACCTCGGGGCTGCGGCCAGTGGGGCCACCGCCTGTCTGAGGCTGGCAGTGGGATAGTCTAGGCACCTATTTGAGGGTCCCCCTGCAGATAGGCTGAAAGGTATATCCCTTTGGACCAAAGGCAGCTGTGGGACCCCGGTGGGGGGTGGCCTGGGGTGGCCAGAGCCCTATAACTTGAGGCTGGGGCAATGCCTCTGGCACCGCTCTCAGCCTCTTCCCCATGGGCGCAGGTTTCTGTGGAACACAAAGACAAAGCCTTGCTTTGTGGAGCACGGCATCCAGGGATCCAGGGGGCTTGCAGCCAGAAATGGAAACTGCGGCTTTTCCATTAAGTGTAACCTCTCCCCCTTCAACGGGCCACCAGACTCCTTCAAATCTGGAGAGGTGGGAGGAGCTGTAAAACCCCTGCCCATTAAATTGCTTATTAGTTGCAGATTTCCAAGCATGTAGGCAAGTATTTTGAGACTGCAAGTCTCATACTGTCCCCTCAACCGCAAGGTCTGGGGCATTTAACCACATTATGCTAAAAAGGGGGCAGGACCCCACTCCCAGTTGTGCGAAGTGGCCTTGTAAAGGGTTTACTTGGTTTTCTCCAGGTCTTACTCTTAAAAAGAGAAAAATACACAGACACAACCCTCCTCAAGCTCAAAATGTCTTTCAAGTTGGTGCTTATCTTTTAAAGGGGCTTTCTACCCATGACCAGCTTCAGCCTATCCACACAATGCCCCCTCCCTCAAAGCCTGATCTGAAACAAGCTGAGCTCTTTAAGTTCCTGAACTAGAGAAGGGAAAGGAGAGGGAGGGAGGGAGGCTGGTTTTCCTGGAACCCTTATTAAAGCAACTTTCCAAAGACAGCCAGAAACTCCAGGCCCTCCCCACTCCCTCAGGAGCATTTGCAGACTGGGGGAGGGGTCCCCAACACACACACACAAGCACGTGCACGCACGCACACGCACACTCACACCCACAGCAAAGCCTTTCTAAAGGGGAATAGCTCTCAGTGTGAGCAAGGCTTTGGGTAGTTTGCTTTAAACTTTTGAACACACTTTTTACGCACAGATTATAGTCTTTTCTGAGGACAAGAGCAGCATTATTATTTAACAATCGGCAGGGCCAAAACTACGTAACCATACTTTACATTTATTTGTGAGGTACCGTACTGTGTACAAAGCATGGAGAGAGAGTGTCCCTTGTGACTTCACAGCAGTTCTCTGAAGATCACGGGGCACGTGTTCTGCTATCACAAAGCTCGGGAGGGACAAGTTATGTGAAAGGGCCGCACTAAGAAGAGGGACTCACGCAGCCAAACAGGGAACTGTCCTCCAGGTCCGCCCATGAAACGAGCTCTCACAATGTGCCGTCTCTGCAGGGGGAATCAGGACACGGCACCCACAGCTGCTATTTATTGCTCACTGACTATGCACCAGGCACTGTTCTAGGAGCTTTGCAGACAGGCTCATTTGATGTTCCCTATGACGTTAGGAGCAGATGTTCATTATCGATGTAAGTTTTAGGGACACCAAGGGGAACGTCCCCAAGAGCCAGCAGTCAGGAAGAAGTAGAGCCAAAGTCAAAACCACGGCAGTCCAGAGAAAACTTGTGTCCACACAAAGATTCGTACACAAATGTTCACAGGGGTTTTAGGAATAATAGCCACCAATGTTAACAACCTCAAAGGCCATCAACAGGTTTCCATATAATTCCGTTACGTGAAATCCCAGAATCGGCACAGCTCATCTGTAGTGACAGAAAGTGGATCGGTGGCTGCCTGGGGTCAGTGCTGCAAAGGGCTTGAGGGAAGTTCGGGGGGGCGGGGCGCGATGAAAACGTTCCGTATCTTACTGGGGCTGGCAGTTAACATTTATCAAAACACACTCAACTATACAGTTAAAATTGGGCTATTTTACAGAATGTAAATTATACCTCAATTAAGTTGATTTTTAAAAAATGCCCCTCTGACTTCAGTCTTCATTGCTGCACAGCCTCCCAATGGCCCCCTCCACCTCTCCCATTCCCTCCTTCCTGTTCACGGGGCCTGGACTGTGTTCTCGTCAGGACCTTCAGCACTCGGGCTCCGCCCTCCGTCACAGCCCGGCTTCCCTGTTGGGACCCACAGCCAGCAGCTTCACTGTCCCCCGCACCCCCTACACCCCCATGCCACCCCTCCAATTCCAATGCCTGTACCCGCAAATCTCTCTTCCCTGCTTATAAGTGCCCATACTATTCAATTTTTCCACCCTCCATTTTTGGGCTGCAAAAGAGTTTCTTAGAGAAAGGTTTTTCGTTTTTGCTTTTTAGTTTCTTAGGGTCCATCACAAATTCATATTCTCCAGCCTCACCCAAGCCCTCCTTGCTTCTGGACTCGCATCACCATCTACACGGTGGCTGATCCAAATAATCTCTGTTCCTCATAAACCTCCCATCCCTAACTTACTCTTTTCCTCTCATCTCGTGTGTGACTCTAGTCATCTGAAGTTGACATCCAACCTACTTAAACCAACCCATCGATTCCATGGCTCGAGTGTTTCTATTTTCTCCTTCCTTTACGATCTCAGGGCTCCCACCCTCACTTATACCCTCGCTTCCTAGACATTAAAAACCAACATCTCTCTTTTGGGAGGGAGTAGTGGTAGCACCTACTAACATTTTACATGTAAGTGCTTTGTCTGGATTAGCTTCCTTAATCCTTTACTATTTTTCCCATTTTAAAGATAAGCAAACCAGCCCTGGCCAGTGTGGCTCAGCTGCTGGGTATCGTCCCTGCAACAAGGTCGCTAGTTCGATTCTCAGCCAGGGCACATGCCTGAGTTGCACGCCTGGTCCCCTGTTCGGAGCATGCAAGAGGCAACCAATAGATGTTTCCCTGCCATGTTGATGTTTCTCTTCCTCTCTTTCTCCCTCCCCTCCCCTCTCTCTAAAAATAAACAAATAAATAATTTTTAAAAAATATGAGGGAACTAAGGCTTAGTGTCTTTGAGTAATTTGTCAAAGCAAGTAAGGCAGCTATTAAGTGGTAAAGCAGAATTCAAACACGTCCATCTTCTTCCTCCCATCCAGCCAAATTCAGCTAACAGATTAATTTTCTAAAAGCTGAATCACATTGCTACCTGCTCAAAACTTTTCAAGGCTCCCTGTATCTATCCATTTAAGTAGTTTCCTTAATAGGGTATTAAGGCCTTCCATGTGCTCATAACTCAATCCAATTTTTCCAGGCATTACTTCCCACGACTACTTACTTACTCACCAGATAAAGCATTCCCAGTACACCTCGTGTGTCCTGCCTTAGTACCTTCACTCATGTTATTCCACCAGGAATGTGCTTCAAGTCCGCCACCATCCCTCTGGACCCCTCTCAGAGGCCCCTGCTCGCCTTGTCCTCTGCACGCCCACAGCATTTTATTGCGACTCCAATGTGTGGTTTAAACATGGTCTACCTTGTATTTAGATACCTCTCTACTGGTCTCCCCCCTACCAGATGGTGAACTCTAGCAGGCAGAGATGGTCTCATCTTGCTTTGGGTCTCCGGCATGATTTAGCGCAGGCCTCGCCTTTAGTTCCATGGCTGAATGCAACATTAATCTGCTTGCCCCAGTCAGTGCACGTTCTTGAAAGTCTCACACCCTTCCCCGCTCCTTCCCTATCACTATACAAGTGGACAAATATTCTCACTCATCATTTATCATTCAAATAGGCCCTGACAGCTGAGAACGACAGCCCTTCAAATGCAGCCACCATGTCATGTGCACACCTGAGCCTTTCACCCACTGCCTGCCAACCTTCTCTACTTATGTGATCAGTCACTGAATCACAAGCCACACACCCTTTGGCAACAGAAAAGCCCAAATATTAGTTCTTAAAGCACCTCGAAAGCCACTAGGGATGCTATACCTGTAATCTCCATGAAGTATTTTTAAAACTGTAGCAGATCCCATGAGCAGTAGGGCAAGTCCTTCCTGTTACGTAACAAACTCTGCATTTCCAACAAGCTGTGGATCTCCCTCGGCTCCCGTGCCCCAGCATGCTCCCTGGTGCCCGATCTCCTCCAAATCTCTCCGGCAGCACATACCCAAAGCAAACCGCTCAGCTGACCTCTGAATGGGGTCTGTGAGATGTGGTCAAGGAAGGCAAAATGGCAAGCACGCAGCCGTGATTGCCGACCCCCGCAGTAGATGTGTCTTTGGAACAATTTTAGAAGCCAGAAGTCTTTATTCAGCTGCCACCTGCCTCAACATCACCTGTAGTCTCACCTAAGTCCTAAACCCAAATTCACAGGCCACTCCCCACCCCCATCTGCTGCATCACCCAACCCTATTCATTATTCATCTAGAGTAGAGAGCCAGTTCTTGGGTCCCAATCAAAAGTTCTTTTCAGACAAGAAAAGCATAAACCCACCCATAGCACGTCACCTCTGGCAAATGGATGTCACCAGCCTACACGATCCAACCTCTCATGAAGTTGGTAATGTTTGTAATCAGGTATAATCAGCCCAGGTATCCTGGGACTCTCTCCTATAGAAAAGAGTCCTTTGTTCCACCTGGGGCAGAGCCTTCCCCGCCAGCCATGTCACCTCCAAACACATCTCTCCCTCCCAGCCCACCCTGTTGCCGAGGGCCAGAAGTCCAGGCTGACCCTCAGCCCGTGCCTTACCTTGTTCAGGCGAGGTCGGGGCCGGCCTGGCAGTGCAGAGTGTGGCTGTGACCAGCACAGCCCAGAAGAGGAGGCACTTCCAGCTCCACATCCCAGTTCTGCAGTTAGAGGTTGGTGACAAGGCTCCACACCTCCATGGAGACTCTGCTTTGAGCTTGATCCTCCTTTTCAAGCTGACTCTGCGGAAATAAAACAAAAATTTAGGAGGATCTGCATGGTGGGGGTGGGGAGCAAGAAGAAAAAGAAGGCAAAGCAGTTGCGCAGTCACCCTGCCCAGAAGGGTGCTTGATGCACTAACTTACGCCTTAAAGCACCATGAAGAGAGCTGTGGTCCTGCTGCAATGTTGAATTCCAGGTTATAGCCCTCGTTTAGACAAAGGAGGGCTTTAATTCAGTTCTACCAGTATTTATTGAATGGGGACCGTGTATCGACCTTGCTGGGTTAATAGTCATGAAGTTCTCTGAGGCATTAAAGTGCCAAGATCATTTGTGCTGGGAAAGCAAACGGCTTTATGGAAGTCTCAGGTGGTTCGGCTGCTCCATGGGCAACAGCTTCACAGAGTATGGTGGGATGCAGGAGCCTGCACGGTGCTGAAGACTCTAGTCTAAGCCTTAACTCTCAACTCTCGCCCTGGCTGGGTAGCTCAGCTGGCTAGTGTCATTCTGGTATGTCCAGGTTGTAGGTTCGATCCCCAATACCCGTCAGGGCACATATGAGAAGCAGCCAAAGAATACATAAATAAGTGAAACAACAAACTGATGTTTCTTTCCCCTTCTCTCTGTCTCTAAAACCAATCAATAAAAATAAAAATAAAAAGACTTCACTCCCTCCAGGGCAAAACCAACAGTTGGTTGCCGGGTAAAGAGAGATGAAGAGTCACAGACCAAGCCAAGGACTAAGAAACGAGATGCTGGCCCTCTCTGTATCTATGCAATGAGGAAACCAAAAAAGTGGTCTCCCTCTTTCTATCTTGAAAAATGTGTGCATCACAGGGATCTCTGGTTCTATCACCTTTCCTCAGAGAGAGAACACAACTCTCACCAAACTCCTTAAAAAGAGCCTCAGAGTGTGGAACTATGAGGTGGGTCCAGCTCTTTCTTCCATACTGAAAGGGGACAGCTGACATCTGACAGGAATGAATCCAGAGAGCTGGGGGTCGGGGGCAGGTTGTGCTGAAGGGTCAACAGGCTCTTGCTAGGGCTGATTCAAAGATGGCTCATGTCAGCCCAGGTTAAAAGCACAGAATACAGCCCTTTACCCTCCTCAGGTCTGGAGGGGTAAAATTTAAGACAACCCTCTAGGGTCTTAATAAACAAGGGATTGTTGCTGCTAAACATTTACCAAGTGATAAAAAGACTTTCTGGGCACTCTTTGGGCTACATAGGGGTGACCATCTCCATCTTCCAGGTGGCTTTTGTCCTAAATACTCCAGGGAACCATCCAAGTTATTCAGAGAATCCACCTCCCCGGAACATGCCCTAATGTGGTGCTCCAGCCTTGCCTCTTCGGAGCCAGACAGGGCCCCTGCGAGTGAGTCAGTCTCCGCTGGCAGAAACCCGCCGCCCCCCCCAATCCTGGCTTCATTCACATGCGCTTACCAGCACGAGAACAGATACACTACTCCTAGCTCCCTCCCAAGGCTTTCCTAAAAATTTTTCATCATTTCAAATCAAAGGAGAAGTAAACATTCCTCTTTTATTTTTCTAAATTTAGGAAAGGGACCAGAAGAAGAGAGAGAGAGACCAGAACAAATGTTTACTGAATACCCACGACATGCCAACCATGTATGAGGTAAAATCTGTAAGTGTCAAACTTCATTTCTTCGTCACTATTCATGTATGAGGGGTGGAAACTATTATTCCCCTTTATGCCACAGGGAAACTGAGACTCAAAGAGGTTAAGTATTTTGCCCAAGGACATGCAGCTGGTAAGCAACAGCACCAAAACTCTTCATCACCCAGGTTTTCAGATGCTGGAGAACTAGGTGGGAGGAAGGAAATCAGGGGTTGATCAAACCTGGCTCTACCTGATGCAAACTTATTTTCTCCAGAGGGCATTCCTGTGCCACAGAGAAGCCAAGCAGATGAGGACAGGCCCGAGGTAACTCTGGGAATGGGAGAGCCTCGATTCTCCATTTCGTGAGTTGAGAGACGCTTGGAAGCAGCTCACAGATGTGCCGTCTAGGACATAGGATGGGGCATGATCCCTGGCCTTGGCTAGAAGTGATGCTGCCAGAGGACATCCCTAAACCACATTCCACGTCTCATCATATCCCAAAGATACACCAAACTGAGGCAGGCCTATCACTCAGAAAGGTACGCTCAGCTAAGAACCTAAGTCCCACAGGAACCACTAGAGTAATGAATCGAGTTTTTAGTATCCAGTGGAGAAGGGTGGTACCATCTTGAGATGATTAGCTTGTTTTCAAATGTAGCAGCGAGGCAGCGTCCATCACCACTTGACCACTCTGTCCGCAGAGAAGCCTGCCCACCTTACAGGTGTGGGTTGGCTGCTGATGGTTCTCTTTCACACTCAGTGCACTTCAAACTGATCTTGAATCTTGATCACACAGTGATACAAACTGCTAGTCCACACACTGCCTGGGACGCTAGGGACTGCCACCTTCTCCTTTACCTCACCTTCTTCTCACTCAACTGATTAATGAATTCTTAAAATCCCCTGGAAAACAGTCTCCTTCCTTCACTGTGGGACAGATGTGACCTGCAGCCACACAGGTGTACACAGCAGCTTCCTCAGAGCCCCTGCAGCTTGGTCCACCATCCGTCTTCCCCATGTGCCGGGTCTCCTGGGACTGGCAGCCAACTCTGTCTGGGTGCAGAGGTCCTCACTAGGGAATGGGGTGGGGGACACAAACATACGTCTCCATGTCCCCTTTGATGAAGAGGCTAAAATATTTGTCTTGCATACAGCACAGGTGGTTACGAGCATCAAATGGGCAGCGCGAGCGCAACCTGCTCTCTCCTCTCTAAGTCCTAATCCAATGTAAGATGGGATAGTGGCTGGTGAGAAAGCAGGACCTAGAATGTAAGACCTTGCATTTCTCTTGAATTCTAACAGTAAAAATTTTATGACCATCAGATCTCCTTGTCCAAAAACGATGTAAGGAAAACTAGCTTAGGATTCAGGGCCAAATCTTTTTCTTTTGGTTTTCTGGAAAAAGTAACAAATTAATCCTTGCCCTTCCATTGATGACCCTACCGCCCTGAGTCACTGAACCTTTCTGAGCCTCAGTTTCCCACGTGTTGGAGGGTGCTTAACTATTTGACTTGGGTACATCACACGTTATGAGCATCCAATGGGTACCTGGCTCTTCTCTCCAAGTCCTAATAAAATGTAAGGGATTATAAACACCGTGCTTTGGGTCACTCCTTGAGAGCGCTCAGGATGTGCTGGTAACTGGCAGCAGGAGGACACAAACTTTCCACCCTGACAAAGGTCCTTCTCCCTGTCCACCTTCGAGTCCCATGCTCTAGACAGAGCTATCCCATATGACGGCCACGAGCCACGTGTGGCTATTGAGCAACTGAAATGTGGCTAGTGTGAACTGGGGCGTGCTCGAAAGGAAAAGAACACAGACTTTGAAAACTTGGTGTGAAGTGAAGAACCTCAATAACTTTTATGTTGATTACATGTTCAAATGATAATACTTTGCATAGACTGGGCTAAATTAAATACATCTTCAGAATCCAAACAAACAAATTAATTAGTAAAAATTAATTCTGCCCCGACCGCTGTGGCTCAGTTGGTCGGGTGTTGTCCCACAAAGAGAACAGTTGCCTGGTTCAGCCCCAGTCTGGTCCATACAAAAGGCAACCGATCGGCAGTGCTCTCTCACATCGATGTTTCCCTCCCTCTCTTCCCCTCTCTCTAAAACAAATAAGTAACCTGCCAGTTTCTTTTTACCTAATTTCTAATGTGATTACTAGACAACCTAAGATTACATGGGGCTTGTGTCTTATCTCTATGGAGCAGCACAGCACTAGGCAACCTCTGTACTCTGCGCAAGTGTTTCTTTGCCTTTTCCTCCACCTTCAACGGGCCAAGCTTTCCTATGCTCTGAGCCCACCTCAAACAGCCACAAGTCTCTCTTGGACGTTCTGGCTGAGGATCTCCTCCCTCTGAATTTACAAAACACCATGGGATCGCAAGCTCCTTAACAGCAGAGTTTGTACCTGACTAGCTTTCGTTAATACCCTTAGCACCTAATATGTACACTGTAGAGGCTGACGCATTTATTAACTGGATGAATAAATGAATGAATGGATGAAAGAAAGGCTGATTGAAAAGAAACTGATATAGATACTCACGTAGAAAAGAGGTTGAGGACGCCAGAGAAAAACAATAGTCAAGTAGTCCTTGTTAGCCAGCTGAGCTCTATTTCAAAATAGAACAACTGGGACATTTTCTAAACCTTTAATTTCCCCAGAATTGAGGAAGTAATACCACAACGTTATGGAAATAAGACTTCTTAACAGAAACAGTCACTTTCCCCAGAAGTGAGCACTTTCAGCTCACTGTTGAGTGGCAGGGCTAGTACTTACTAAATACCTGAAAAAAGTCATGCAGCTCAGCCTGCAAATTTCAGTTGGGCCAAGGAAAACACTAATTTTAAAATGCTGAGTCCCTGTAAAAAGTACCCAAATGTCCTTGGGAGTAAGGTATACAGAAAGTTAGTGAAAAATAGGGAGCAAAACACTGACTGCTCCACTATAATCTAGGAAACCTCGCACCTGAAGGCAGGATGGACTAGCGGACCTCCACCGTATTCTGGGAGTTGTTCACCTAGGTGGGGGCTGTTTACTTGGGGACCAAACGTAGCTCCTTTAATTACAAGGGGCAATGGTGGTAACGAGAGGGTTTCTGTTTAAGGTAAATGCACTTAGGGGGAAAAGCAAATATCCTGGCCTGAGTCTCGTATTTAATCCTCTCTGGAAGCACCAGAATCTTCTCTAAAGCTCTACATCTGGACCCCCACCAGTCTCTCTGGTGCATTCAGACCTTTTACAAAGCTCTTGGGAAAACAAATGCAAGACAAATTTCCCAAGAGGAAATTAAACTCAAGTGATGCGATGCCTCTTCAGAACAAGATGTATGAATCAATTCTCTCCACCGCCTTTTTCTCCAGGAGCAATAGGCTCCAACTTTCCTAGGAAGCTCTTAACTAACAGCCATTTTGATGAAAGAGATTAAAAAAATGGAGGCAAGAAGAAAGTGTTTCGGGGAGCCGGCTGCTAAAACCCCAAGCTCACAGGAGCACATCGCCTATTTTAGGAGTCTTGTTTCAGGTCAACACCCAAGACAAACAAAAAGCATACAACTCAAAGCAGGAACCCATGGATTTTCCTTGGTCCCCATGGCTGGAGTTAGCCTACTCAATGCTCAACTCAATCTTCCTGCCCTCTGGAGTCCAGAGAAGAAAGCCAGCCCAGGCTCATGCTGCCTGGAGGTACTTTGATTCTCTCCCCTAGGAGGGTGGGAAAATAGCATCTGTAAGGCTCCTTCTCTCTCGTTCTGTGCTTTTTGCTTTCCTTGCTATTCTTGGGTGTCTAACGGAACTTTCTAACATCCTCCATGGCCTGAGGCCAAGATAAAGAACCACCCAAGACTGTCAAAGGAAGGAGTGCCCACTCTGGCCCACATCCCATTTGTGAAAAAGCCTCCAAGATGGGCATTTCTACAACCGCGCTAAAGGCAGGCAGTGAACTCACACCCATTCAAGGGGCTATCCATCCGGATGGCCCTCATTAAAAAGCTGACATTCGGCTATGACTAAGAGTCAATGCAACAGATACGTCCAGGAGCTGGTGACTGATGCAGTACACAGCCGTCCCAGCTGGAGCCAGGCCCCAGCAGCCGCCTTGTCCCCAAACACCCCTTGCTCCTCTGGGCTCAGGGGCAGCCCTGGAGCTTTTCCCAACCAAGTGGGGAGAAATATGCAAACAAGTCATTAGGGTAAGCAGGCCGCCAGGACAGAGGTCGTCAGCGGCTCGCGCGCTCTCTCTCTCTCTCTCTCTCTCTCTCTCTCTCACCCTCAGTCACTGAAAGGAAGGGAGATGACCTAGGCGTGGGGGTAATTGGCCAGGCGGAGGCAGGTCCCACGGGGCCCTGCTACAGAGCTTTTCAGTAAGCCTCAGCGAGGAGACCGGGCGCTCGGGCCAACGCGGGGAAATGGCCATTTTCTGCTCGACAGTCTTAAGGCTGAGGTTCTACAATTTAGATGGTATTCCAAAAAAAGCGCTGGCCCGGAGGTGCAAAGGGCAGGGCACATCTGCGGAGGAAACAGTCACCTTAATTACCATGTCTAGAGAAAGTGCGATTTCATTACAGCCTCCAAAACTACCGCCCAAAGGAGAAACCAGAGAAGTGTTTTCAATTTGAAAGAGGCTGGCAAGGAGAGAGGGAGAGAGACCAACTCTCCCGCAACTTTGGACCACAAGGTGCTCTCCTACCTCAAAGGACATTACGAAAATACCCTTAACCATCTCCGCTTTCAAAACTGTAGCCGTTATTTAAACGGTAAAATGTCCGGCTTTAGTTTCCGGGGTCTGCAACCCAAATAACTCTTTAAAACCACACAGGGAGCGCCTCTGGCCGCAACAACCCGCCCCCCCCCCCCCCCGCGACGCCCCCGGCCGCTGCGCTCCGGGCTCGCTCCCAAGAGGGTGGAAAAGGCGTGACGCCACCGCCGGGCGGCCGGAGACCAGACGGCGGGCTCCGGACGGGGCTGGGCGCTCCCGCCGCCCCAGCTGTAACCGAAGGGACAAGAAGCAATACTTTAGGACCAGAAACGTCCGTCATCAGAGCCAGTTTAGGGCCAGAACCGTGACCAAAGGGTTCACCCCCCGGGAGCGAACCGCTCGCAAGTGTTACCCCTAAAACCTTGGCCCCATCTTCCATGACGCGTCTTTTCCGCGCAATCTAGAAAGCACCACCACCATCATATCCTAAATAACTTGGGATCCAGGGTAACTCCCCCCCCCTTAAATTCCAACGCCTCACCTCCAGTCTTAAGAAAGTTTAAAGAGGGAGATGTGAAGGACAAGTTGAAGAATCCAGTTTTAATTTGGAGGTTGGCAGAAGGGAAGGAGAGGGATGTTAACAGCGTGGTGGCGGGTGTGCCCGCGTGGGGTGAAACAGAACCAGATGCGGCCGCTACATCTGGAAAATGGGGGGAAATGTACTGCGGGAGAAAGACACGGCAGAAATTCTTAAATGGGCTAATAGCTTCTGGGCCCAGAAAGGAGAAGCAGGCTTCACCCCTCTCCCAAAGGTGTCTGGCTGCCTTCATAGGCTCTGTGCTAAATGAACTCCACCGACAACGTCAATACATTCCTCCGCAAATGAGGGTCCTACAAGCCCCTGTTCTCCCAACCCCAGACCTGACGCGAGGAGCGGGGGACGCAGAGGCGTCTGGGCCTGAGAAGCAACATGCATCGCCGCCGAGGGAACCGCACCGGACAAAACCCTCGTCCCTTCCCCCACCTCCTAGAACCAGATTGGAACAGAACGTTCCCCTCCCCCCGACCCCAGAGCAGAGCTTAACCACCCGCTGGGCGCCCTCCCCGTTCCCAAACTTCTGACCCTTTCGGAGATGGACTAAGTGGAAGATAAGCCCCTCTGGAAAAGGGAATTCCTTTCTCGCTCCGCTAAAGCAGATTCAGCCATTTGGTGACGACACAGGAGTTAAAACCTATTCGAAGAAAAGCTAACTTACCCCTCCACATCACTCCCTCTTCAGGCCCCCACCCACCCCCAACGCCTACCCCGGAGTTTTCCGAGGTGGTAAAGGTCTTGGAAACAACCCGGGTTTTTAGTGTTCCATCCAGAGCTACCTGCTGAATTGGGGTGAGTTCCCACGAGTGGACTAAGAAGGGACAGAGTGGAATGCAGCGCGCACACACCCCCCACCTCGCTGCCCACTCCCGCCCTCCTCCCCAGTCCGAGGACGTCGCGGGCCGCCGCCGCCTTCGTCCGGCCGTCCCTCCTCGGACTCACCGCGGAGCCGCCGCCGCCGCCTGGCCAGCTCCCCCGCGCGAGTTGGCGGAAAAGTTGGGCGGCAGGAAGAGCGGCGGGACGAGCGCGGGCGGGGGGCGCAGAGGGCGACGCGAGCGAAGGGAACCGAAGGGAGACAAAAGGGGGGCGCCGAGCGCTGGGGAGGGAGTCGGGAGGTGGAGGGGGCGGGTAACCCGCGGACAGTGGCGCCGGACCCGACCCAGCTGCGGCAGGGGAAGCGCGCAGCCGGGAGGCTCCAGCGCCGGGGGCCGCTCGGGATACCAAGCCCGCCCCAGATCTGGGGGCGCCGCGACTCTTACCTCACTGGGCGCTGCGGTTCCGCCTCTGGAGAGTCCGCCGTGGCTTGTGCGGGCGGGCGGGCGCCCGGCTCCCCGGCTCCGGCCCGCCGCCCCCGGGCTCCTGGCGGGGCCGCGAGAGCCCCGCGGCCGGCGCTCGACTCCCGGTGGCGCTCGGCGCCCGGCGCCTCCAGTCCGGGCGGGAACAATGGAGCCGAAGCTGGTGCCCCGGAGGCGGGGCAGGGGGAGGGCTCCGTCCGCCGCCTGGGGTCTCCAGACCCTGTGGCCCCCCTCTCCAGACCCGCGGCTGCTCACGCTTCTTGCAGCCCGGGCTCCATCTCCTTAAGGGGGCCCCGGCGCCGCGGCGTGCCCGACTGCAGTACCGGTACCGTGCGCCCTGCGGGGCGCCCCTCGGACCAGGGAAAAGTCCTCAGTCTCCGCTGCTTTCCAGCTGCGGCGCGCGCTCCCGGCCGGGGAAGGCGAGGTCGCCGCAATGCGCTAAGCCGAGTTTCGGTCCAGTCCGGACGTCGCCGCCCAGCTCCCGGCACAGCCGCGGCTTCTCGGCGCGCTGCGGCTACACCACGGTTCGGGCTCCCGCTGGCCACCGCCGGCTGCCGAGGCCGCCGTACCAATGCCCGCAGGAGCGCTCCGAGCGCTGTGCGCCGGCGAGGCGCGAGGCTCGCTCTCTCACTCCCACCCCGCTCTAGTCCCACCTCCACCTCCTCCTCCCCTTGCAGCTGCCTGCTGGGCTTTGTAGTTCTGGAGGCTCGGCCCTGGAGAAGGGGGGAGCGGGCAGAGCTGCCTGGTGCTCTGCTGCTCCTTTCCAGCAGTCTGGACAGCATCTGAGCGCGCGTCTGCCCCTCCATCCGAGCATCGCCGGGGAGGGCGCCCGAATTTCAGGCAGCGAACAGATTAGCAGTTGAGGGGGTGAAGTGAGACAACGCTGTCGCCCTGAGGTCGTACATGGCAGCACAGACTTTGGAGTAAGACTGACGGTGTGTTTGGGGGATATAATATTCTTATTCTACATCTCAGTTTTCTCATCTGTAAAAGGGGGGTAATTGTACTTTCCATGTAGAGTTGAGGATTAATGAGGCCCTGGCATACAGCTACTAAATCAATAAATGCAAAGTTTTTATTCTTGAGAAGGTGACCCCCACCTCAGATCTTTCCCCCATCTCATTTTTTTCCAGTCATATAGGTTAGATTTTGTGGTCCATGGGAAGCTAGGTCCTGTAAATTCTCCAGTGCCATTCTTGGACTCCAGAAGTCTCCAGCCTACCGTTAATGTTTCAGAAGCAATGAGTTGAGTAGGAGGGGAATTGAGGGGTGGTGTCAGTTTGGAAATTAGTAAGAGCCCACTCAGAACACACTCCAGTAGTCTATGGAACCAGAGGGGAAGTAGCTAAAGCGTCCTTTGTCCTGGATCCTTCCACAGAATAGTGTAATCTACTGGTTCCCTGATCTAAATGGATAGGAGTGTTCTTGGGAACTTCTGAATGCAAATTCTTGCAAATTCTTGGACCCGATCAGACCTGAGGAAGCAGGCTGTCCCAGGAAGGAGCAAAGAGTCTGTATTTTTTTATACAGCTCCCATGGTGCCAGGTTGGGGAACACTGGTAGGATGAGAAGTATGTCAGATTAGGCATGAAAAATACCTCCCCTCTGGTCCCCTACTTATGAACTCTTTGATTTGGTTCAAATCATGAGTCTGAAAAATCACCAAGGCTTGTTTACATATTACCCCCAGTTGGTTGGGACTCCCTCACAAGGTTGTCACAAGAATCAAATTAAATAAAATAACAACGGTCAGTGCACCAAAAATACTCTGCAAACAGAGGTTGCAGGGCCTGCCCCTTCATCCTCACCCTGCCTCAACTCACAACGTTGTGGAATCTTGAATCCTGAACAAGATAACTCCCTTCTCCCTGAATTGAAGGGAAAATGTCTCTAAACTATTTCTCTGTTTGACCAGTAGGTGAAAGAATAGGGACCAAAGGTGTCATTCACATAGGAGCTCAATAAATGTCTATTGGCTGATGAAAGAGTAAATATTCAATAAATATCTATTGAATGAATGAATAAATTTAAAACTACATAAAATCAGGAACTCACATATTTGTGAAACAAATGAGCTGTAGCCATTGTTTCTATGTTTTTTCCCCCCTATAAGCCTCTCTCTCCCCTTCAACCATTCGGCTCCTGGTCAGTCTCTGCATATATCCTCCCGTATAAGCTGCCCACACATTAGGCCTCCTTGATTTTAAGTAGTGCTCATTCCAGGCCTGTAAGAAGGCCTGAGTCACGCCCCTCTTAGTCCAAACACTGTCAGTCCCTGGAACCCCTTCTGACACGGTATGTCTCACTGATTTGATGCTGAACATAACTTCGTTCATTGCTGTTTTTACTCTTTCTCTTTAACTAGTTCCTAAGTTGTACTAGGGCAAGGATTGCATCTCTGTACCTGACCTAGCTTAGGACTGACTACGCAGGAAGCGTTTTGTGTGTATTTGTTGTTGATGAATTTGATGAGGGTGACCAGAGGAGAAAATACAATTTGAGAGAATATGATTGGAAGACAAGCCATGGGAAATACAATTTTTAATGTTAACACTTAACTACTCTTTCCCACTTTATTACTAAAAGAGACTATATCACTTTTCCTCTCTGATTCTTTTAAATCCAGCTCTTTTTTTTTTTTTTAATTTGGAAGCATTTTAGGAGTATCTTGAACCCAAAATAGGAGGCTGAAGAATGTGCCCTTGATTTAAACAGAAAGAAAATCATCTAAATGTTTGTCTGTTTAGTGTTAAGGGCCCTAGGCCTGGTGCTGAACAAATTTCTCCATAGACTTAGCAAGAAACTGAAAGCGGGTGGCCAGCTTGAAAGTTTTCCCTCCCCTCGTTTTCAGGGAAGCAGCCAAAGACAGAGGCATGGAGAAGGTGAGAAACCCAGAGAACGCCTGCGCCATCCACAGACCACCGACAAGGCTCCTGAATAATTGAGAGCTGTCTGCCTTTATCCTTCCAGCCTCAGCCCCCTTCTGTGCTGGTCCTCCTCCTCCTCTGTCTGAAATGTGGACCCTCCACTTGGCCCGGTCTGGCCAGCGGAGACAGAGCATCGGCGAGGCTGTCCGGACCAGCTCCAGGCAGAGGGGAGCAGACGATCGTCTGCCTGCCTCTGTCCTGCTCTGAGGCCTCCTGGCACCTTGCCTCCCCACACAGAAATGTAATCTTCCCTCTGAGATAACAAAGAGCTGGGAGGGTCAGGGAGGATTTGTAGGCCCCTTGCCCTGCCAGCTAGATGTCTGAGGGGGAGACAAAAGCCCTCACGCTGGAGGACCTGATAACCAGTTGGGGGCCTGTTGCCTCCTGGATCGGTGGGAGGAGGGAACCGGCGCTGAATGAAAAAGAGGGAAACAGAGCTCTCCCCAAAGCCCGATCAGCCCGCTTTGTTTGGGAACACTGCAGAAAGCCCCTTCCCTCTTCCTCCATACTCTCAGGTCCTCGGAGTTCTTCCTCTCTGCCAGAGCTCCCTGTTCCAACTCAGTCATTGCCCAGACGTTCCCACCCGGCCCCACTGGGTTGGTACTGAAGAGTTAACACCTCCCTGTTACAGGAGAATCAGGGACAGGCAAGCAATACCTATACTAGGGCGAGGCTGGGCTGCAGAGCTGCTCCAGACGGCTTTGGGAGTCCCTCAGAGACTGGTGGGAACCAGCAGCAGAGGCTCTGCTGCTCTGAGAACTGGCTGCAGGAAGGGATTCAGGAGGAGGGAGCTGTCCGGGTTTTTCCCTACAAAGTGGATGTTCACAGGTCTCTGGGAGCAGGTGGGCGGCCAAGCCTTTTGCCCCAGGCCCCTGGAGTTAGGGAGCAGCAGTCCGTTACCATCTGGCTGCCATTTGGTGACCCCTGGCTGTTCTCAGCACAGCTTCAGCATATAAGGGAAGGGAGGGCCTTGTTTGGCTTGGTGTTTTTGTAAATAACATTTCACTCTCTCCTACCAACTGGGAAAGGAAGCTCCAAGCTCATAGTGGTGGCAGCTTGGCTTGTCTGGTCCCTAATGCAACACTTATTCACTGAGCATTGAGAAGCAGCAGAGAGAGGGGGCACTTCTCATGTATCAGGCCCTGGGCTAGGCACAGTAAATCCAAAGACGGAGAAAACAAGGGTGCAGCTTTGGGGAGCTCACAGTCTGGCGAGGGAGGCCAAACGTTACAAATCATGCCTCACCAGGGGCGCCTGCCGGGCATTTGGGGGAGAGAGGTTGGAAAGGAGACGGCTTGGCAGCTGATGCCTGAGATGTGAGAGATGACAAACAGCATGTGAAAACTCACAAGCTCACCTGGGATAATCAAGGAAGGCAAGACTAGAGCGTACCTGCAGAGTGTTGAGGCTTCTGTAGTCTCTCGCTCCAGAGGGGTGAACTCAGTGCCTGGCACATAGTAAGTGCTCAACAAGTGGTAGCCATTGTGGCTACATTTTAGCGCAGGAACTTTCCTTGGCCCAAGACATCTCTTTTAGGACCTATTTTCCAGGTATCTTTGCAGTGTTATTATCCATTCACCGCCACTGCCCCTGGATTCTCCAAGACCCACTACAGAAAAAGATATTTTTTCCCACTGATCTCCCCCTTCCTTGCTGACACCTCCCCCCAAAGCAGCCACTTTTGTTAATTCACAGGTTTTACTGTGAAACAGGAAGGAACAACAATACATATGGGGAAACAAACAACGCTTATAAACCCTCAGCGATCCTTACAGCCATACTTCCTGGTCTGGGTTTCAGACGCCCTTCGGGATGCTCGCTGCAAACCCGCTGGCCTTTTGTCGTCTGCTTTTCTTCTCGGGCTCTCTAAACCCGTCCCTTTTTCTGACCCCAACTTACAAACCCTTTCCCAGTACAAGCCTCTCATCCGAAACATTGTGCTGGGGACTGGAGAGGTGACAGAGGTGGCAGTAGCAGGACAGTGGACAATTTGCATTTCTGAGGACTCCCCAGGAATAGGGGACCCAGTTCCTTAGGCTTCTGCCCTGCCTAGGGACAAAGATCAAAGTTTCGGGTTAGACTGAGATACTTGAAGATTCAACTTTGAAGTGGATTCCATCCAAGGATATGCTAACAGAGTTGCAGATGACACCCTCTGGGTTGTTAAGAGCTTTTGGTGATATGGGAATGGGTGGGGTTGGAGAGGAAGACAATTTAAAAATAGACAGTGCTCTACAGATAAGGTAAAAGAGACAGATATGCATTTTAAAAGACAGGAAGATAAAAGTGTTATGAGAGTGTGGGGAAACAAACACTCAG